TTCACACCACAGCGGCTGATAACCGAGGCGGTGGAAATCACTAAGCATCACAGCGTCAATAGAATCGATTGTGTGGAACTGGCGAGCGTATGGAAAGCCAAGAAGACACGTGACGGTGTGGTTGTTAATCCACGTAAGGTCATTAGAAAAAAACGGGGGATGGGGTGGAATTCCCACCCGATCATAGGTCACAGCATCCCTCTTACACAACTGTCTTAGCACTAGGTCACCCACACAGACTGACAGAAGGTTCAAACGGAGTTCGAAGAGACTAACAGAAGGTTCAAACGAAGTTCAAGAGAAACCATCAAATGAACCGAACAAGAAGAACTAGACCCTAGGCAGGACCCAAACGCATGTAGGTTTCCCCACCGACACAACACTTGTTCAACCACTCTAACACACTAAAACCCTTCGGCCGACGCCCAAGAGAGATTTAGCTTGACTTAGCTGATTGGTTCTCTTTCCGCCTTAAATCTCGACCAACCTCGGAAGCTAATCACTTGGCCTGACGAAGTTTGTCAAAAGCGAAACGTTGCCCAGCAATAAATCTACCGAGTGTCACCAAACTTTTTCGAAAACATTTTCTACTTAGTTCACGCCAGACCCTACTTCGATCATACCAAAACAAGTTGCGTTCCTCCATCTGCTAGGATCAGAGCCTTTCGAGGTAGTGTTTTCTACAGTCCAGGGGTACGACGCTGATCCAACTCATGCACGTTCCTATTTCGATGTGGAAGTTAACAGGCGCACACTTGCGCCACCACACCACTAAAGAAATACTACGTGCATGGCTAGATGTATATGCCGCACAGCAAGTTATGTTACCCTATACAGAAAGAGGTTATTGAGTACATAGATCGTTGAAAATCCGTGGTAAGTTCCTTATTGGCGAGTAGTGTTTGAGAGATGTTCTCTTGGTGGACTACTGCGCAAATTTTGATAGGCAACCTCATGAATAACAATTTGAGAGATGTTCTCTTGGTGGACTACTGTGCAAGTTTTGGTAGGCAACCTCATTAATAACAAACCTTTCGTCGGTTCCACACGGCTGATGGAACAATGAAGAAAAACTGACCACTGTCACAGATGACAATCTCGGTTGTTTGGGTGAACGCAGATGGTGGGAACCTCCACAGGATTTGAAGGACTCAGCACCTCAGTCAATCATACGTAGCTGCTTAAAATTCGGGCGATATCTGGCTACATATAAGCCATCGCGTCATCAGGAAAGTTTTTGTAAAGGAAACTACTCACAAGTTTGCTGAAAACAGCCCACGACCGGTTTCGCCCTTCTTTGGCCTCATCAGGTAGGCGCAGTCTCCGAGTTTCCGTTCAGGAAAGTTTCATTTGTGAGGCATGGGGCTCTTTTTAGGCTATCCAAACTTCCCGAGATTCACTGTTTAGCATCGTTACCGGTTTATACCATCCAAAATCAGGAAATAGTTTGTAGCAATATTTCTGGTGCTCATTCTAGATGTGGAGTAAGTCTGCTACATCAGCTGTCGTTAAGAGTACAACCACAGAGCACAGCAACTGCACTATTTCAACCTGTTTTGAGAGGCTACAATTATTCCGTTCAGCATCTTCCCATCTCTGTCCAACCAAATGCTGTAGTAAATACGTGTGATCCTCTGCCATAGTAGTTTATTTAGTATGTTCAAAAACCAACAGCCTTTGGTAGTAAAAGATGAATGTCGACTGTTGTTTTTGTTCACAAGAAATCGCGGATGACTATCAAATGTTGGCTGACCATGTTGTCATACGAAATTCGGCATCAGGTATTGAAACGCTTTCACGTAGGATTAAAGCCGTTGCTCGAAGCTGCGACTATTAGTACTTCGTTTAGGCGAGCTGCGGGTAAAACCTATTCGCAGTCTTCGGGTGAAGTGTTCCTAGGCAGACGCATTGCTCACGAAATATGAGTTTAAGAGGAACCGCCACATGATGAGGTGATACTTCCCTCCATCCCCAGAGACCGCGTTTACGTAAGAAAATTTCGGGGAAGTCGATAAGAACGGATATTCGGATTAGTCGTACAACTTATCCGTGTAGACGCCATGTCAGTCTAATGCGCATGCAATAGAGTCCTCCAACAGTATCAACACACCCCCATCAACATTACTTGTTTTGAATGAAGACGATACTGAATAAGACACTGAAAACCCAGGCACTACTTTCCAGGTGGGACATTCCTTACGCTCCAAGCAATCTACCAAGAGACTTCTCACCAATCCTCATTTGAAATCACATCACGAATAGTCGAGCTTTCTTTGAAAAATTCATTTAAGGAGAAAAAATATTGTACCGTGTCTGTGTGGTCAATCGGTCCACGATGGTGTGTGATCTATGGTACGTGCTTTCGGCTCCCAAGTTGGTTTCTTTGCTATGGTGATTGTTTTGTGATGTCGCGTATTCCCAGGGTTATATCTAGTGGGCTGGTGGCTGATTACATGGTCGTTGATCTGTTCACCGAGCTTGACACTTAGCTGGAAAACGTTTTGTCCTCAGTCGAGGAGACGTCAGTGCGCAGTTGGATGGGTCTTGCACCATGCCCACACACCACATACGGGCCTTCTTCTTTAGGATAGCTGTTACATCCGTATATAGAAAGAACGAATAAAATTTGAGGTGTGGAGCAAAAGGGCACGCTCCCAAGAACATAGTGGACTATTTGAAACAGTCCACTAACCGTCCTACTTTCGGCTGAAATCCTGCTTATTTCGCCAACCTTCAGTCCCTAGATCGTTACAATGGGTGCCAGACCACATTTGTTGATTCATCTTGAGGCTTTGTTCATCACGTGATATAGGCTAAACCCTTGCTCTCAAAAAAAGACCTGAGTTAGGCATTTCTTCCGTATGACTCGTCGCACATAGTCTCTTAGTAAGGATTTGAACTTTGAATTTCTAAGGTTGACTGGGAAATTCATTTATTCGGTATTCCGCATAAACTTTCTTTTTATTCTATCAATGTTCGACTGTTTTTCATAACTTTTCTGTATAAGTCCAAGTCACAACGTCGAAACTGTGGTACCAATTGATATACCCGCCACATCATATTATATGAAGGCCCGTAGTCATGCGAGTAACAACCCCATGTCCCATCACCTTGTTTATAAACAATAGCCCCTCACATTTACTCTAAATTATTTGACTAGGTGCTCCTATCCCGAAGGACCAGGTGAATAGAGTGAATTAAAGAACCTGTCTCAACGTCCCAATCGTCATTCCAGAAGCTGATTTGGTCGTGTTGCTACTTCCCTATTACAGTGAGATGAAGCAGAGTAGGACTATTGGTTTTTATTTTACATGTTGGGAACCAATAATGGAACCGTGGTTAGCATCAAGCAACACTATTGGCTTTACTGAAGTGACGTGATTATTCCTGGTTATTGAATTCCCTTCAAATGAAATTGAAATGATGTAATCTGTTGAGGAGGCCCCCTGGTAATGTGTCTTGCTCTCGGATATCCTTGGACTATCCGCCTAGCACGCCTGACCCTCAGATGCAAATCGAGTGACTTTTCATACTCACGGTGCGTGTTGTCTGGTTGTGCCCAGTCGTTTGCAACCTCTGATTCACATTACCGTACCCGTTGCTTTTCTTGTGACACTCCTGATACGTATTGTCTAAGAATTTCGTCAAGATTTCGGTCAAAATCTCGTGGCATTAGAAGTGGTGGGAAACGTTCGTGCTGTATGTTAACACCTCCTTTACTCTCTTCAGTTGCGTATGTAAAGTAAAGGACTGACGAACAAAGTCCGGTTTTCGTCTAACAGGCCATTTGTTGCTGTCATCTTTGTTGTAGTAGTCCCTACGGGTATTTTCCATTCGCTGTTAAACCCCGTAACCCAACCCCTAATGTTACACGCGAGCGTGGATCGAATGGCAGTTTGCCCATTTTGGATATAGTTACTTGTAAATGTCCTGAAGTGTCCCTGCAAGGTTCTGTCTACTCCAAGGGTGCCTGAACTGGTTACTATTTATAGTTATCGGATTACACCGCAGTCGCTTAAGGACATGGGTGTGTACAGATTTCAGTCTACTGGTTGATCACACTGAAGCCTCGATCCAATGGATCAAGAAGAGTCTATCTTGAAGAAAACCTTGCTTCCCTGCAAGGTTCTGTCTACTCCAAGGGTGCCTGAACTGGTTACTATTTATAGTTATCGGATTACACCGCAGTCGCTTAAGGACATGGGTGTGTACAGATTTTAGTCTACTGGGTGATCACACTGAAGCCCCGATCCAATGGATCAAGAAGAGTCTATCTTGAAGAAAACCTTGCTAATAGTTATCTATCCAGAGCGCTTCATTATGGTTCGCAGTGCAGTCCAACTCAGGCAACGCTAGCTCAATTAACCACAAGAAACACGTACACTTATTATCTTCGGAATCAAAGGCATCCGCGTGAACACTGATGTAAGAGTGAAGCCCCATTTGCGTGAGCTTCACTTCACTCTACGCCTGTTTGCACTACATCACTAAAGTCAGACGTGGTTGACCATTGACTTTCATGTTGATCCAGTCACCTCATTTCGAATCATGCTGCGTAACGTGGCGATAAACGAGGTCTTGCTGTTTGAATCAAAGCAACCCCGACCATGTGCACGAAGATAGTCGAGGCAAGCAATTCAGATACCTTCGCTTTGATGACAATTATTGGCCGAAATCAAGCAACATGGTGCAGCGTATGCCTTTGTTCAATGGTAGTGAAGTTTGCGTCAGTTGTGCTTCGTCGCCTTACGGTGGCTCTTGAGCTACTGACTCGAGAGCAACAAGCGGGATTTCGGCCTGGTAGGGGTTGTGTTGACTAAATCTTCACACTGTGTCAGATGCTAGAACAACGCCATACGTATAAGCGACCCACGATTCTAGTATTCCTGGATTTCCGAGGCGCATTCGACTCGGTTGATCGGTCTGTTCTTCTTGAGACGCTTGCCCACCAAGGAATGCCCCGGAAGTTTGTAAACATAATACGTTCTTTGTATTCTCAGACTTCCGGACGTGTGAGAGTGTACGGAGAGCTCTCCAAAAGCTTCCGCACACAAAGCGGTGTCCGTCAGGGATGCCCACTCTCTCCATTCCTTTTTAACTTTGTGATCGATGAAATAATGAGACGAACGCTGGAGGGTCTCCAAAACCCTGGTGTTCAAATAGCCAGTGAAGAAAACCTTGTCGATCTGGAATATGCAGACGACATCGTTCTCATGTTCGAAGAGGAGGAGAAGGCGCAAGTATTCTTGGATGAACTGACCAAAGTCATCCCGTCCTTTGGTATGCATTTTGCACCCACAAAGTGTAAGGTCATGCTTGTGGACGTGCAGTCACTGAACACGCCCCTTACAATCCAGGGAGAGGTACTGGAAGTTGTGGAGCGTTTTACGTACCTTGGAAGTTGTATTAGTTCTGATTGCAGTGTGACAGATGAGGTGAATGCACGAATCTGCAAGGCTCGGGCCGCGTTTGCTAACTTGAGACACCTATGGCGTCAGAATGGTTTATCCCTGAATCTGAAGGGACGTGTGTATCAAGCTACAGTACGGGCTGTTTTGTTGTATGGCTGTGAGACTTGGCCTATTCGAGCAGCGGACCTGAGACGTCTTCAGGTGTTCGACAATCGTTGTCTCAGAACCATAGCTCGTGTGGGTTGGTGTCGGCGAATCCGTAACGAGGCAGTTAGAAAGCGTGTTTTCGGTTGTGTAACGGGTACTTCCATTGAAGAATGTGTCCAGCACCAGAAGCTGCGTTGGTTGGGACATGTGTTACGTATGCCGAACCATCGTTTGCCGAAGAGAGTGCTGTTTTCCATGCCCAATTCAGAGTGGCGTAAACAGAGAGGTGGCCAACCCTTGACTTGGCAGAGGAGTATGAAGGAGATCACGAAACGCTCTGGTGCTATCGGTGCTACTCGCCTTCCAGGGTGGGGACGGCGTAATCCTCACTGTGCCTGGTTGGAGACACTACAAGATATGGCTGCCAACCGATGTCAGTGGCGTTCTTGTTGTCAGTTTCTGTCCAGATTGCCTGAGTGAATGTGTGGAGGTGTAGGCATCTCGGGATGATTGTGTTAAGCTAGCTCTAAGTCCCTCCCCCGTCCACCTTAACTCTTTTCTTCACAATAAGGCTTTCAAATAAATCACGGTTGTACGGCAGTGAAGCATCGGTGTTGAACACCGATGTCACGCTGTCGATGATGATGATGATGATGATGATGCGTGAAGTTTGCAAAGAGGACAATGTTTCAGATATCATTTGCAATCCATTCGATGCTTTCTGATAGCTCTGGAGACACAGGTGATTTCTCCACCCTCCAGTGATAACTGGCTTTCGCACGCTGCTTGGTCAAATTTCATGTTCCTCACGATCAGTCATGGTTGTACGGCAGTGTGAAGCATCGGTGTTGAACACTGATGCCATGCCGTCAATGATGATGTTGATAATGAGGCTTAGGTAACCTGGCAGTATCCCAGACTTCGTGATCCCTTCGAGTGGCGTAGCAGTTAGGCACCGAAAGTGTACTTCAGCTGGACCAATCGATCTTTAATTGAGGGGTTGCATGTCCGAAGTCTCATGGGACTGGTATAGGTCTAAAAAACCGCTGATCTCTAATAGCACATTATGGTACTGCACTCTGTTAATCCACAAAGTTGGCAGGCTAGTTTCTCGCCTTCCCACAATTTTCGTCTAGTGTTTGTTGCCACATGATTCCATTTCATTGTCATTTGACCGCCATTCACTGGATTGTCTGCAGAAGGCAAGCTGGGTGGGTCGTCTTCCCGTGATACAAGTCCCTCGTGCCACCCAAAATTTCTTCAGGGAATTGAATCGGGCCAGCTACCTTTTTTTCAACTTGGCCCTATTGGTAGCTTCTCGTAATATCAGGATCTGCAAGCTCCAGTGTTTCCGGTCTGTTTGCCTTTATGCAAAAAGTGCTGTACCTCGGGTAAATGTATGCACATATTCAGATGACCTTATTAAAGGTCGAATATGGTAGCAGCGTCTATCTGGCTCATTGCATTATGTTTCATGGGCACTAACTGGTGGTGCCATTGAACTGGTACAACGGTAGAGTAATTCCCTGTAAAAAAACAAGTGGCCCGGATTGCTGCAATTTCGCTTTTTCTCATATGAGAAGGGACCTTAAACTACATGCATTTTATACCGGATCATTTTTTCTATCGAAAAATTGCCAATAGTTTGATTAAACTTAGTATTCGTTGAGACTGTCTTTAGCACATGTGTTTGCCGGTGTTTTACTATGCAGCCAGCGCATGAAGGAATCCAGGTGCCTGTGGAACAGGTTTGTGGCTGACAGCGTCTGGTGACAATCACTGTCCGAAATTCTGTTTCCGATGCTAACTACTCGACGGCACATCAGTAGTCTTTGGTAGAAAACTCAAATGCCAAGGTTTGTTAGTTTGCTTCATGTCAGCTAAATCCGTTTCTCCGTCCCATGCTGGTTCACTTTCACGAGCTTCTGCTGTCTCTGATTCAGTCAGAAAACCTAACCAATGTTTTTAACTTTTACTTCTACCTTCCTTCGAATCCGCGCAGTTTCACTTTGAACATCCAGGCGGTGAGCTGTGATGAGCTTTATGCGGATTGCACGGATCTTCTATCGTTAGACCATATAGGTTCCGGAAGTAATTGTCACCAAGCCAATCTCTCAGGCCAGGAAGCGTGTTTGACTCAACGAATCGTCAATCCGCTACTGTTAGGCTCTCGTCTACGCTCACTAGTGGAAGAGAGATCTGGCGGGTGCACAGCATCAATCGGTTTCGGGAGCAGTAAACTGTTGGCTCGTCTAGCCACAAAGAAAGCAAAACCGAATGGCCAAGTCTGGTTTCTGGGCGTCAGCGGTGATCAGAACCCTGGCAATTGCGCTTGGCGTTGGGCTATTGAGGAACTGAACTCTTCCATCTCCGATACTTCGTTGCCAACTGCCGGTCTGTATTCCGACTGTGAGCTCACGGGATCCGATGCAGAGTGGCTGAGTGATTTACCGCTTCAAGAATTACCAGGTAAGAAATGTTATTCTTATCGTTTTGTTCATCGTCTACTTCAAGGACGGGTTAGCTTGAAGGTTTTGTGTGACAAACTTTAATCGCTGAATATGCAAGGACTAGGCTTTTTCGCAATTTGTTATTGGATAGTTCGTAGAAACAGTTTACCACGATCCTTTGTTCATCATTATTCTTTTTTGTTGTTTGGACCAGTAGTGCATCACTTCTTAGCTACCCTACAATAGTCGAGAAATAAATCCCGATAGAGGTTGGAAATGAAAGACTTGCAGCAAATAAACCCCATGGAAAGCGATCAAAGGCGAAAGAAAGAATTTGGATAAGCACATCTTAATACTAAATTGATATTATCAACGGGATTGACTGGATATCTTTCGGGAATATTACCCAACGCTTTGCGGACCCGCTAGGCAGCGACAGCACTCGGACCACTGGGGTCAGTTACGCACTGTGCCCTGTGAGCGGGATCCGATGCAGAGTGGCTGAGTGATTTACCGCTTCAAGAATTACCAGGTAAGAAATGTTATTCTTATCGTTTTGTTCATCATCTACTTCAAGGACGGGTTAGCTTGAAGGTTTTGTGTGACAAACTTTAATCGCTGAATATGCAAGGACTAGGCTTTTTCGCAATTTGATATTGGATAGTTCGTAGAAACAGTTTACCACGATCCTTTGTTCATCATTATTCTTTTTTGTTGTTTGGACCAGTAGTGCATCACTTCTTAGCTACCCTACAATAGTCGAGAAATAAATCCCGATAGAGGTTGGAAATGAAAGACTTGCAGCAAATAAACCCCATGGAAAGCGATCAAAGGCGAAAGAAAGAATTTGGATAAGCACATCTTAATACTACATTGATATTATCAACGGGATTGACTGGATATCTTTCGGGAATATTACCCAACGCTTTGCGGACCCGCTAGGCAGCGACAGCACTCGGACCACTGGGGTCAGTTACGCACTGTGTCCTGTGAGGTTTCTATCCACGTATACAGCCAGCCAGAGAGGCGCGAAAAACCCACAGCGCTCAACTTGACAATAGCTGTTTCGTTTCACGTTTCCGCATCATCATGATTTTTCCTACCCGGGCCTTTCACCAACTGGGCTTTGTGCTTTTTTGGTAAACGATGCTTGGTCATACACAATACATGCCCCGACCATATGAACCTGGCCTGCTTTTTTGCCGTTCCAGCTGTTCTGACTTTCTGCCTATATACTCTACTGTGGACATGCCGCCGCTAGCTCTCCTTATGTTCTGCAGACATCGCTGATCAGTTGTGTTGAGATGTTCGAGGTATCCGAGGTGGAAATGTCAGGTTTCATAGCAATAAAGTGAAACTGTTCTCACAGGCATTTTTTAAGGGATATTCATTTCTGACTCGCTTTGGCGAGTGTTGCTCGCGCGTTGTTGGCGCCTGTACTGATTTAAATCGAAACCTATGCAGCTGTCAGGATACGTTGATAAATCATGATAATCACACTGATTTTTCCGAACTTTTGGGAACGCCACTTGGAAATAGGTTGTTCTAAATCTAAGTTTTGCACTTTGAATATGCAGAACACGTGCCTTAAACAAGGGACCATTTTCAACGTTATATTTTAATTAGTTGTGCAGACGTATGGTCATCGAGTAGCAAAGTCATGTCTTCTACATAATTCGAGTCCAGTCCAGTCATTTGCTCACGTGATTTCTATACTCGGATTCACATTCCTTTGGTATGTGGCCTACACAACGATGCCGTAACTGAACCAATAGCTGCTGGGGAAGATAGTCCAGTGAACATTCTAACATCAGCACTCCTATGGGAATGAAGAGCGCGTGTCTACGAACGCCAAATGAATTCCCCTCCGGCCAGATGCGGAGCTCAAAGCAACCCAGTGAGTAAGATACGAATTCCTGCTGACCGGAAGGTCCGTAGTTTAAATCAAACTTTGGTATATCGGCTGCTGTTGTCTAGGCTTCGGCAATCTGGCAGATGGCACGGCGGTTATAAATCAAAAGGGCGTTACATCTGTTGTCATTTCGCTCAGCTATATGTAGAGGAGCCAATCTGTTCATGGAGTCGAAGGCTCTTTCAACGTCTTGCTTGGTCCCGATTTTCCGTCAGTGATATTCAATTGGCGTCGTGGTCCGCACACCCTCACCTCTCACTTGCTGAAGCTATGGTTCGCAGTACTGATGAATCTAGTGTTCGTGCTACGAGCAGAGCAACATCCATACAGCAGTCACTGCTGTTATCTTATTTTGAATAAAGCGAAAGGACTGATAGGCTACGACTTTTCTGAAAAGCCTTTATCCTTTCAAGTTGACTGGATCGGCCTATTTGGATCGAAGCACAAAGATTTAGCGGTCTTTCAGGCTGGAGATTCATCTTTCCTAACGTTCTGATGGGAAACCCGGATACTGGCACGGTGATTCCAACCCCAGAGAGAATCCGTCAGAAGAGAGTACGATTCACTGCACTTTGGATTGCTTTACTGTTGGATCTCGTTTAGCCGAGAACACAGCTTAAGAAGACACTTGGTTCCGTTATCTAAATTCACCAGACATTAGTGGTATGGCATGAGCCAGCTGTGACCTGATCGAGTAGACAATTATGCTAGATAAGTACAGCCCCAGGCTTTTGTTTCAATGAACTCTGTTCACTCAGACATGCTACGTCACCGAAATAGCTGATAATGAGCATTAGCCAATTAACGAATGCCGGAATATCATGTAACATTTTGTCGTTAAAATGAGGAGATCGGGAAATTCTCAAAAGAGATTTCGTTCTGTAATTGCTGCCAACGTGTGCTTAAAAGCTCAATGTGTGTGTGTGCTCAATGGGAATCAACAACAGTGCGCATCTCACTAAACTCTGGGAAGTTTCGAAAGTACGACCTGTGGGCTATTAGTGTGGACACTTAACCGTTCGGTGACGAGCCGCTGATCAGCCTCTAAGACGGGATATAGCACCACTCATCCTGTGTAACCGTTCGGTGACGAGCCGCTGATCAGCATGATGATTAACTGCCTCTAAGACACGATATAGCACCACTCATCCTGCAATCAGGGAATCCACATCCCGTGGCCACGTGTTGACTGCCTCCTCAAGTAACGACTTGTCAGATGGAAGTTTCACTAGTCGTGTAAAGTGTTCTTTCTCTGGGCTCTTTATAGATTGTTGGTAGTAGGAAGTAGGATTAAACCAGGTGCAATAACCTCCCCCGTTTCCAAAGGCTTTTGATCTGATGTATTTTTCTCGCACACAAGCTAGAATCCGCCAGCTGGTTCCACATCATTGGGCGGTAGTGACTCCGGAAATCCAGTGCTTACCTCGTCCCTGTTGCGATCGGCGTTCCTTTTGGAGGCCGATTTCGTTTAAACCATTAGTCAGGACGTCATTTGGTTTTCGGTTTATCGGGAAGCCTCTAGAAAGTTTATACCGGGACGAAAAGATCGGTGGTCAGGAATAAAACTCCACCATAATTGGCTGATTATCACGCGGTCAGTCTGCCTCCATGGCTGTTCATTAGTATGAAGACATCAGGTGACACAGCGGCGTTAACTGCGAAGAAAACCAATGCTACTGAAGAGAAAATAGTGTGTGATACAAAGCTGCAAACAACGTCCACCTTTGTCGACACGTTTTCAGCCCAAACGGTTCTCGAAGGGTTTTGGCATCACAGAGAGTTGGTGTACCGACAGAAGCCTTAAGCAAGAACGACTGACCCTATGAGTAGTGTTTTACGTTGGTTCGAATTTGACAAACGAACGGCACACAGACGGCTGTGTACAGTATTCAGTGGATCGTAAAGCAGTCTCACCTCATGAACTGAAAACCATACGAACACCAGCGTAACCCATTGTGGAAGCCTGGTAATCGTTGGAAGTTTGTAGTCCGTAGCTTCATGATAACAGAGGTATCTTACCTCGATTATATCAATCCTGAATTCGAGCTTAGATTTGCAGAAAATGTCTGTTATTAAAGCTTGTAGAGTGGACGCTAGAGCAGTCTGTTAACTGATTTTCTGAATAGAGCGCACGTAAGACCTGCAAAGAAAATAGGGAAATGAGGTATGGAAGGCGAATATAAACGAGGACACGCCAGTAATCACTCTTCTGATTGAACGATTGACTTGCCTGCAGCTATACAGAAAAGTGATGGTGTACTAGAGTTGAAGTTGGGCACGACCTAATGAGGACACCGTTTCATTAGCGGTTTCTTCTTTCTTATCTGTCCCGACTTTTGCTGTGATTAGGATGATCTGCTAGGTGGAACCACGTATTTCCAGATGTGGCATGAACTTAGTGATGTTTATACAGTTCGGAGCTGCAATCCGGGCGCAAAGGCCTATATAAGAGGACTAGTAGAGTTTTGAACCAAGTTCTTTGTTTCAAAGATGGCTGGACAACCGCTGAAGACCACCGTATTAGTTCGTTGTTTATGCAGTGAATGGTCAGGCTTGATACACCTCGCACTCTGAAGATTTTGGAAATTGTTAGCCAAACTTCTATCCTTTGATCAACCTTCTGCTCAAGAATGTGAACGTTTCACGGCTATAGGTCTGGTGTGGGTCATGGAGTGGCCCGTCGCATTAAGTTCTGTCAATTGCACTCAGTAGGAGTTTTCCAGTCTTTCGAAAGTCTTCAACCAGATCGTCTTCATTGGGTATCCTCAAAGGATGGTTAACTAAAGTGGTTTTTGATATTCTTATTTGCTATTCCAACTTTCGTCTTGTTTCAAGGTATTGGCAGAGTGTTAGTTGTGAAATTGGCGACGGCCTTCAACGTGACAACGTGTGGCGAACTCATGCGCGGAGTGACGCGTGGTCAACTAATTGACCTTGTCGGACGGAAAACTGGGGAACGTCTCTACTGGCTTTGCCGTGGTCGGGTGAGTTTTTCTTTCATCACCAGCACCGCCGTATGGCAGTCAGTGCTCAATAGCTCACAGTGTTTGGAGGCCGCTGGTCATAGGGCCGTGTATGCGTGAAAGGGTGTTTTCGCTGTTTCAGTGAAATGAATTTCTAGAATTCAATGCAGGCTGGACACAAAGCGCTTGTAGGAGAAACTAAACATCATGGAAACAAATCGGAACAAAGTGGCTCCTCAGGAACGTTCAGCTGGTACATTTGAAACTGTACTGTTTTAAAGAATGGATGAGAAGTACTGCTTTCAACCTAAATTCAAAAAAACGTGGGGAAAGCATTGCGTTTTGGTCATTGAGTGGGCTTGTTTCAGGCTCCCGTGCCAACTCAAAGCTTTGTCTACCTGGACAGAAAACCGGTATGATGCATCTGCTAGCAGCAGCATCTATCCGGCGCAGATGTGCGCCATTACTTTGCCTCCTATACCCGAGATGGGCGAGATGGCCCAAGTGGTTAGGGGACGAATTTACTGACCGGAATGCCCGTGGTTCGAACCCGACCCCTGCCTCTCGACTTCCCCTGTCTAGGGTTGGGCAACCTGGCAGTATCCCGGCCCTCATGTTTCCTTCGGATGGCATGGCAGCTGGGCACCGGAAAGGTGCTACAGCTGAACGGACTGAACGTTATGCCCGAACCTGCTGCTCCATCTACTTGTTCTTTAGGATGTCATTAACAGGGATTGGGTCCATTTCATGCGGCTACTTTTCTCATTTCGACTCAAACCCGTCATTTTCCATAACAATCTCTTCATCCTGAATGGAAGGAATTCCATGGAATTTTTCAGCCGCCATCCATTACTTCCTAACGTATACGGAGGTGAATATTTGTCATTTCCCGCATCAGCCGAAATAAACTCTGGTTTCCTAGTTACCCTTACCTAGTGTTGGTTACTCCGGTATTGTCAAGCCTGCAACACCATTATAGAATCTGAGACGACAACAGAGCTTACCTGTGTGATTGTCTTCTCTAAGACGTATGTTTTCGATTTCCAATCACACTTTGCACGTATCGTACTTTTCCCACGTAACAAAATTTCACATTGGTTGTACTTTACATAAAGCCGGTCAGATATACTTTGGTTGCTTTATGACTTCGTGTGACATTAATATACATCAACATTCACATACGTTTTTCTCTCGCTCTTAAACATGCAAGTCACATACAAGTCACTCTACCAACAAACTGGACGCTCCCCTTTCTGATATCCATTCACCAACCAGACGGATAGTGTGATAACAGACCATACTCAACTCATTAACTGTCTTAACGTGTGCCTATCGATCTGATTATGCTCATTTATGGGTGGGTGGCTGTGTGAAATGTTCTTATCACTTCAAGCACCACGTTGCATCTTTCAGTGCCTTCCACACTAATGCGATAGTTGAACTCCGGGTTTGGGGCAAAATATAGGTGGCTAGGCTTGTGCTTGTTAAGAGCTTTGTTGTAGCGCTGCACCGCATTGGTTCTTTTCATCGATCGTGTTTCATTAGTTTGTAAGCATGTTGCACTCAGTTCTCCCTAACCTATCGTTTTGGTTTCGTGAGCGCTATCGCTAAAAAATACGAAGTATCTTGTACCAGTATTGTTCTTAGCTTCATGACGTGACATGGGTGAGTAATATGTCATGGCATTCACAATGTGGAGCATTCTGGCTGCCAGACACTAAAAATGAATTGACACACCTTCTTATTTCCAGGATCCGTGTGACCAGCTGCACGTACAAAAGCCTTGCAAGTCGGTGTCAGCGTGCATGAACTACGGTATACGATTACAAACGGTGAGTAGCATTCAATGTGTACGCTGTTTTCCCCTTATCAAACACTTTACGGGCCTCAATGGGTGGATGCTCTGAAGCCGTTCAGTTACGCTTATTCAGATCCGTTCAAAAAAGTGTTTGTTAGGTTGTTTGGAATCCATCGCAATTATTGCATGCGATTAAGCTGGTTTCGTTCTCGACCAATCTCCGAAGCTTTGGACCCTCATTATGCCTGTTGGCGATACATGTGTGGGACCCTAACCGCCAGACCTCTGGTATGCAAGAGGATCACCTTCATTGGTCCTCCGGCAGCTCATGCTAAATGCACCCGAATTATTCTATCCCAACAGATGAACATGTTCCTACGTTTGATTGGTTCCATCTCCAGATCACCGAAAGTTGTCCGGTGGGTTCAGAGCGTTCGTGATACCAGCTTGCCTGGTAGACCTGGCAGTTGGGTCAACGTCCAAACAAGAGCGATATGTGGATCGCGTTTGAGGTGTCTGGTGTGTCGCGACCCGGACTAGTTCCCGACGTGACTGGATTTGCTAGTTGAGATTTTCTTGCTTCGCCGTCTGCCCAGTGGCCTGAGATCTTATCAAATGTCTACAGCCATCAAAGACGCTCGTAGGTTATGATGAATCATCTACGAGTTTAAGACATTCCTTGCGGCGTTCGAGAAAAAGCGATAGCTAAAAATTTGCAGTGCAGTTTCCTCAAAACGGTTCCGGCGAATATCTATCCAAGAGGCTAGACATACGACGTGAAGCAATTATGACCAGTAGTCCATCCATAGGCAGGATGTGTTACAAGGGCACTCAAGCGTACCGGCTTCATCCTCATCGACTAATTGTTCGGTCGATACGTACGCCAGTGCGGGTTTCCCTGACTGATCGCAACCAATGGCGTGCTATGCTACCTTCCTACTTATTTTTATTCCAATTAACCGCGGAGGCGAAATGGCTCAATGGTCAGGGCTCGAATTTACTAACCGGAAGGTCTATGGTTCGAACCCGACTTCCCCTGTCTAGACTTAGTGACCTGGCAGTATCCCAGCCGTCGTGCTTCCTTCGGATGACATGACAGTTAGGTACCGAAAGGGTGCTACAGCAAAGCGACTTATTTTTATCGATTATCCACTGTTGAAAATCATGCCAAATTGACTGAAGTGAAGGCCAATGTCCACTGACGAGATTTATACTGGCGTCCAACTTTGCTGGCATCTCGTCATCCAAAAGGCATGCACCTATTTTCCCGACCGTGTGGCATGCTATTTTTAGCTAAGTTGAATAATTGTCATCATCATGAACATTGAGCACCGTAACACATTGTTATGTGATTGATCTGTGTCGAGCAACCAGTCGAAGTGTGCGTACTTTTGTAACCAAAACGTTGACGCTGAACGGTTGTAGATGACAGTGGGAAATCAAATGCAGACTTTATTCGAAAGGGTGGCTTTAGCTGGGCCAAGTGTTGAAATGAGTGCATGAATCAGATCGATGAATAATTGGATCGTTTTTGACAAATCCATCAATTTTAAATTCAAAAACAGTTATGAGTGAACAATTGTTAGCCAACAAACCGAAGAGAGAAACAATAAAATTCGAGATAGGTTCGATTATTTACATTGGAAGATGATGAGGACTTAAGATCTTTTGGCCGTGTTTGTCTGTAATCAGCTAGCCATATCATCGTGGATATTCGTGTCGTTTTGTAAGTACTGTGGCTCAGCCGACTCCGAAACTCGTACATACGTGCTTGGAACGCATAGTGGGGAGAGAATACGTAAGCGTCTGGCTGCTACAGTAGTTAAAAGTGCGTTGCTTATTCACTTGCGCCTAGTGTGAAAGGACATAGTGTATGACTCCGAATGTTGTTTTGGCATCAAACTGGTGAGACAGAACTAGAGGTGCTGCTTCGAGTCTCCAATGCGAATGAGCAGTATCCGCTGACCCTTGTTTGATAGTTACCTTTGAGTTCGACCAAGATCTTGTCCACAACAGCGGAACGTAGTGCGTAGAACCATTAAGCCGGTCTGCATGGACGTTTCTGAATCTCTGGACACGAGTGGGGCTGCTGGTGAAGTCAGCAATTCTTACTGATTGGCTGGTCATAATTTCATCCGACTGATCACATTTGGATGTTAGCTTCATAACTAGTACTTTCTCATTAACAATAATGACTGTTTCACGGTATCTTTTTTCTAACGTGAGTGTTTCGATGAATCTTGTGGGATACCCATTTTCTTGTAACGTTATCTTCACAATACCTAAGGTATTCTGTAGCTTCTCAGGATGACGGACTTTCCGGGTTCCGTAAGCGATGTTCTGTGAGAGTCGGTGCATCACGTAAGCCTTGTTACATAGACTGCTTTCAAATGTATCGCCCGAGCATCGTTTGAACAGTGCGTTTGGGAATAACGTACAACCATTCGTTTTTTTCATTATGATCAATATTCCTTTCATTGGGCAGTGATTTGATATGTGTGATGCCTGGCTGAGCCAACGCAGTCCATTGAGCCTCGTATTTTGCGCTTTCGATGGTGTCAATCAAATTCCGGTGTTACTCAACACGCTTGTGATAGATTGAAGGTAAAAATCTGAAAATGTCTCTATACTCCCCCATCCACCTGCATATTCCTTACCCTGCAACCTTGCAGTAACAGGACTAACTTCGTTGCCCCCTTGAGACTTTTCGACTTGCATTTGGGTGCCAGAATGGGTGTTAGTCTCTGTACTTCCTGTTGTTTTCTAGTTGGCCGACATGGAGAAGCTGGTGCGTTCGCTGACAACTGAGTTGGTGTCACGTATGTCCAACACCAAACTGACGCAAGACAGTTCCGTGCGAGGCGGTGTTCAGGGTCAGAATCTCACTGTTCGCGTATTCATTAGAGCTCCAAACGCGCCGCAAGAATCGGCAAAGTTTATGGGTATGTGCCTTATTTTTGTGAGGATAATTATGACCTTAACGTGCTTTATGAACCATGTGTCCTCATCATCCGTGTCGCAGTCAGGGCGCAGTTTATTGTAGCGAGTGCAGGTAACACACAATCGGTGGGACTGATGTGGAGTGCTCTGTCACCGTCTGATTAAAACTTGCGTGCCAGTGTTCTGATTGAATCCAATGGTTCAGAAAGAATAACTTTTTTTCCGGAAAATGAAACCTCTGTCGAATTTCCGAGTTTTATGAAAATTTGACATCAAAATGCACACAGCAACTCAATAACAAAGGTGACTCTGCTGTGTTGTCAGATCGACCCGTAACTTGCAGACTCATTCGATTTTGAAAGTAGTCAGACCGCGCAACAACAGGTTTTCGTCCGCTGGTCGACTACCTGCCTAGCTGGTCGCTACCAAAATCCCCACCAACCCACCATACATGCACATTTTTCGTTCCTCTTTACCCACGGCACCGTCTGGTAGAGATGTTAATATGATCTCTGGTACGAGCATTTTGCAAGGCCAGCATAACGATACGAGTTTTTCCACTAAAATCTCCATCTGAAAGTGATTTTTGGTATCCGTTCTGATCAATATTGACCAAAGTGCATCTGATCATGCGCCTGTTGAATGAGTTCGACTGACCAGTGGTTTTTTTCTTGACGAGTCAGAATACTAACTCGAACTATCCAACACAATTTTTTATTCGCCGGGCATCGATACCAATGCGAGCTAGGTGCTGACTGCATACTACGGCAGCCTAGTTGTTGAGTTAGTGGGATGAACCAAGTTGTAAGGTGCTCATTGCGTCTCTTGTTTAGTGACCGGAATACATCCTTCATAATCCTCGACTGGACATTACCCTTAAGTCGCCCCATCTGTTCCTTTAAAGCATGTTTTTGAAATCTTGGTATGGATTCTGAGCCAAACATTACCTGCCGACAAAAAATCTTCTTTTTACTCGGTTGCGGTGAAAAAGATGAAGTCACATAATTTAACCTTGCGTGCCACGGAAATTTCCTCACCGACTGTCCTAGGGCCGGAGCGATTCTTCAATGTGCAGTACAGTCATGAAAGTGATGTAGAATTCCTTCGTCAGCCAACACAATGATCGGACCTTGCTTTTGGAAATGTGCCTTAGAGGTGAAGTCGACATCGTGTAAACTTGACTCATTGTATTTATTTCAGTGAATGGGTGTGATGCTGTTGATCTCAGTGCCTACGATATCTTATTTTATGTTTTCTGGTCCTCTATTCACCTCTTCTCCGATCGATCTTCAACTCTACTAGAAATCGGTATTTACACGCTCGCTTTGTCTTATCGACCTGTGAAGAAGCACACCTTTGTAGTGGTGACATTCCATTGTAACAATCATATTTCGCAAGAGACATTATGGTGTTTCCACACTTGTGGCCTCCTAGTATTGTCTCTTCCAAAAAAACGAGACATTCATCCCCTTTAAAAACTCGCGAAAGCATTCTTTTGCGAATTAGTCATACGGCCTCAGTTGGTGCCAAGAGTTATGATCGATCCTCGCATCACGATGTTGCTTGCTTTCAACGAATATTTTTGTGGAAGAGAACGAATAAGCGTTTGTATGTCATGCTGCTACCTTGTTGTTGAACCTGTCCATCTAAGCCTTGGTTTGTGATTACTTCAAGGTGTATTGCATATGGCACTCACAGTAGAATCTCGTAGGTAGTTGAGAGCTCATGATAAAAATGGAATCGCATTTCCAGTGGGAAACAAAGAGAATTTCACTGAGATGGTGATCGAAATGAATCACTCACGGTTAAAAATCAGCATCAAGATAAAACATCTCATCAGAACGTGGGAGAACGACGATGCAAGCGGGAGAATGGTGGTTTACTAGTCTATTGATGCGACAGTTAATACTTTTTGATACCACTTTGCTACGGTTCTAGCTGGAACATCTGAAGCGTCTCGGTTCGCGGCATTCGACTTCTCCGATGGCTGATAAAAGTTCGAGATGCTATTAGCCAGAAGTTTTCGACTCAGTGGTTTTCTTTGAAAAACCCTCCTCATTCACGGGATCCTCGGGTGGGATCAATATAACCACGTAATAGGTGTGCACAAAGAGCAGGATAAGCAGGTGAACCCTAACGCACATAAAACAAGGCAAGTATTCAGTTCGTAAAGAACTCTTTTGTCCCATACGAAGACTGTCCTGGGACAATGATCACTTTTGGGGTTTCCTTTATCGGTTGGATGGATATGTTGTTTTTAAAATTCTTGCCAGATGAATCTACGTGGTTCAAAGACATTGTCAAAGTAAAATCTGTAGTTCGTATAGTCTGAAGATAAGGTAGACTTTTAGCTTCATTATCATCACGGCCGGTTGCAACACCAACAGAAACGTGCGGTGTTTGACCGCCACGCATCTGAATGGCTGGGTGATACTACTTTGCTTCACGGGTGGGTTTTACGAATGCACAATTGAGTCTGGGGACTAATTAGCCCTAAAGCTCATTCACTCCCCGATTATGTGAAATTCCACGTAATCGTTTAATTGTACCGTATGGTTTATTTGATCAATCATTCCAAAAAAAAGCCTGGTAATCTTTAAAAATAGCTCGGTTATCGAGGTGCATGCTATCGACTGAACCGAATTTGTCATCCAAAAGTACCGATCTTGGTTGGGAGTCCTTGGCGTATCCACTTTATCGAGCTGTTTGTATGTCACAGCAACTAAATTAGTGTAACCTCATATTTTTAATTATGACCTTCGATACTCAAATCTTTCGCACTCTGTGCACGTGAGCCTCTTTAATCGACTTGAAACAATATCGATTGCTATCATGTGTATCGCACGTGCAAGTAATGTGCACTACGTGGCAAGGACCACTCCACCTGTCACCATGTTTCTTGTTAATTTTGATTAATCAATACTTGGATTCTGAGCAGGTGTTACACTCTTCGGAACCCAGTAAGCTGGTAAGTTGATCAAACGTAACAGACTTGAGTTCCTTGATGAGGAACCAGACCACGTATAGAACAGAGGAAACTAGCAACCATCCGCAGTATCTACCTGGCCAACTGTGGTGCTTGCATTTTTAATGACTGATCACTTAACAAAACCTTATTGGTATGTCTAGTAACCCAGTCAAACAGCCCAGGTTCCTGTATGGGCACACTGTGAGCAGATAGGTGTTCCTTTTCCTCAAAGATAAACTAAAGGTCGTCTTGTTCAGTCGAAAATCCTTCCCAGAACACTGTCGGCTCACTCTTAGACTGTTGATGATTGTCAGCTCAAAGGCTACAGTATTTTCGAAAATCAATCAAACCACAGATCTTGCTGTTTCCTGAAGGTTATTCACTTGATCACGTGCACCTCAGTTCACCCAACTTTGAAACGTCCCAGTTATCCGGGAAGTTTAATTCATCCTTCATGAGCTTAAAACTTTACTTTAAGAGCACCCCCAAGTAGACCATGTAGGGTTAATGCAACTCAATCACTCTGATGGTACACGCAAAGGAGAACCCAAAGATGTCGACAAATCAAGTCAGGTGCAATCAGTTCCAAACACTAACTGTGTACTTGAAGGATACACCCGACAGTCAGATGATATCTAAGCTTACTATTGTCCTGATGATTGAGTGTCTAAATATGGGCTGTGGCAGCTACAACCACTGTACGACGAGTACGCGGTTCTTACAGCTGACAATGATGATGATGATGATGATGATGGGGCTGTAGCAGATGACTAAGTTACTCACACCGATGATATCCTGTGAGTGATGGCAAGCGGAAGGATAACTGATCAAACTGGTCGAAGGAAGTTGCAACTATAAGTGACAATTAAAGGGAGACTGATCTTAGGACCACGAAAAGGTCGCAGGCTAGCCTTTTCAGATTCCTCGAGCGAATTTGGCAACAGGGTCCCTAGGAGCACTCTATGTCTATCTTGATTGCGTCGGAACCCCTATTTCAAACGGAATCAAGTGGTAATAATATAGCCTAATATTTTACAGTTTGTACAATATGATATATTTAAGGAACAATATTTTACCGAATGTTCATCCGGTTATCGATGTATGAGGTGGCTGTTTCGATTCCTCGCCAATTTTACTTCTCAGTTCTCTGTGAAATCGTGCATTGACATGTGAATCTAGCTGTCGAATTTCATGTTTTTTTTGCTTTGAATGCTACGCTTTCTTCTTTAGGCCATGGTATCTGCAAAAAGGCCAGTCGCATGATCTCATTACCAGAGGCGACAGCTGATCCTCAAGTCATCCAACGATTCACCATGTCTGTACTCCGTCAGCTATGTCCAGACGTGAAGGATCTGCGTGGTGTAAGTTTATTGAATTGTGGCTAATTTTTTTTATTTTACTGGGCAAAAAACTTATTCTTCAGCGAAAGTATATCCGCTGGTTAGAACGTATATGGATTACGCTTTTCGCCGATCTAGCATGCTTCACCGGAGATACTTCAGGCCGCACCTGTAGCGTCACCCCCAATTTAGTTTGTCATTCGTTAATGCACCACGTGAGCCATACAGCTATTGGGATCACGTGAAAGCGGCCTACTAGATAGCGGTTTGAAAGAGGATAACTTTCAGGTTTCCATTTCATTATCCTTGACGTGTGTGTGCCGTCACCTCCTTAGGTCTGTGAAGTCACTTGGTTTAATGCGTGCTTCAGTTGGTTCTTCTATCCCATGTCACTGTTTTTATTCGTCGCGGTTTTCTTTATTCGGTCAAGCGGTAATAGTAGTCTAAACCCCCAAGGTGTAACGTAAAATATAGCCATCCGCATTGTCCAGGATCAAGTTATATTTGTTGATTGTCTGTTCTAATACACTAATGTGTGCTCATGTACGTAGGAGTTCTGGTCAACTCCGCTGCTTAACTGAGTGGATGAGTTCTGAGTGCTTTACTTCCATATCTGTCATCATCTGTCATATATTAGTGCATAGGTGATGATAGCCATAACACAACTCAGGTGTATGCACTAATAAAAGTAGTTTACAGTAACGATTTGCAGCCTGTAAAAAATGAGGGGCAATATAAAATATGGAGCAAGTCAAAAGGGAACTTATCGTATGTGGGAGTCCCTTGGTGAAAGTCCAGACGGCGGGAACGTGTTTTCTCCGCAGTATTACTGCTACACGTGTTCCATAGTTGTCCGTGGAATTGTGGAGAGCGGTTGACATCCTGATCCCTGCGTGCGCGCGAGTCTGTGTGCACCGACTGTGTTCGGTTTCCTTATGTGTAGGTCCGTTTGCGTGTACGTGGGCGTGTCAGCACGAGTAGTTGCTACGCTCACTAGACGGTGCGGACAATCGACGTCTGATGAGTCACTCTGATGTGACGTGGTTTGCGAGTATGGGAAAAGACAAGTCTCGTGATCCAGTGAGCGACTGTGAGCTGAACAGTCAAGTGTGTGGCTGACCGGGTAGCTACACATACTATCTTTCAGTATCACTTGTGTGAGCCTACTGAAGAGTAGTGGACACATCGGGTTACGCCGTTGGACAGCCGCGCACATTGACCGCATATGCACCACCTGAACCCCGGTGTAAATCCGAGGGGAAAAGACCGGAGAATAAATAGGAAGCGACTGTCTCACAGTACACGTAACTGGTGTTCCACACAGTTTGTTACGATGGTTTATGTGGAATTACATGGGGCTTTCTCGTTTCAAAATACATGTGCATCGCTTGGTCAAATGTCTGAAGTATCACTTAAAAAGTAGCCGGATAAATGGACGGTTCCGCTGTGGTTAGTGAATCATTGATGTCATTTGGGTTTGCTAAAACGAGGGAGATGGACCAAGTGGTTAGAGCGCGAATTTACTGACCGGAAGGTCCGTGGTTCGAACCTGACCTCTGCCTCTCGACCTCTCCTGTCTAGGCTTGGGCAGCCTGGCAGTATCCCAGCCCTCGTGCTTCCTTTGGGTGGCACAGCAGTTAAGCACCGGAATGGTGCTACAGTTGAACGATTTTTTGCTGAAACCGCTGGATTTGTCGATGTTGTTGTGGACAAGGTAGCTTCCTTAAACAACACTTACTGCACTCCATTGAACTTGTGAAGTGCTTCAGGAGCATCATGGATCAGCCGCTGAGTATAATCATACACTGGAGAGACTGTCTGTACTTCAGCGATCAAACCAACGGCCAGTGATCACACATCTCATAGTCGCCAGACTGCTCTAAGTAACTACAAGATGAACTTGATTTCCAGTGGAGTCATTCATGAACTACATTTCCAATAGACTGTGCTTAGCTTTTGCTTTTATTTACGAACCGTCGCCGAAATCGGTATCGGACATTTCGGTTACGGTTACATAGAATTCCAGTGGGGTCATTCATGAACTACATTTTCAATAGACTGTGCTTAGTTTTTGCTGTTATTTACGAACCGTTGCCGAAATCGTTATCGGACATTTCGGTTACGGGTACATAGAAAACAGTCCTTACCACGTTACCTTGCGCAGCTTGCCTGGTTATGGGGTAACAGCGTGAGGCAGATGAAATGCTGCGATACTTCCTTCTTCAAGCTAATTATTACGTCAATGAAGCATCCGTGTTCAATGTCGATGTTGATTTTCCAAAGGATAGATGGTAGATATGGACAACCAGTTCCTGGATCTCTGCACTCTTATTGTGTTGTTGCATTTTCAGCAACCTTACTTATTCTGCACTGTTAAGACAGGTTTTTAGTATGAAATATCAAACTATTTTACCATGATACTTAGCTGCAATACAATGCGGAGGTACGAGAACTCAGATGTTGTCCAACTTCACATAACTAGACACAATTGCAGCCTCAAATATCGAGCCTTCCGGTCAGCACTTCACACTTGGCTTTTTCGAACACACTGCTACGTATATTGTAGTGATAAGCAAAACACAGGGCTCTGCTCAGGTAGACTCCTGTGTGTTGTGGTATAACGCTCCGTAGCGCTTCGCACATGCAGTCAGTAGTCAACGGTTGCCTTTCCTCTTGTGCTGAATATTTTTGCATGTCCATTTTTAGTTGGGTCTTCAGATGAATCGTCTCTCAATGTCGACAGTGGATCGTTGTGTTAATAATCCACTGGCAAAGCCGTCTTCGAATACCTTATCTCCTCCGACCGCATCATCTGTGAGTCCCACTTCCTGTCCGGTAATCAAAGAAGTTCCGCTAAAACCTGCTGTCATTTCCGAACCGGTTATATCAGGCGCCCAGGCTTCGGAAGTATCACATACACCTGTGCGTGTCCGACGGAGGTCTCTTCGCTTGAAGCGCCCTAATTCATCCTCTGGGTAAGGCGCTCTCTTTTGTCATCCGTATTCGTTTTTTCGAAGCCTAAACGCTTCATGAAGATGGCCTCAATTGCGCTATCTTATACGAACCGTTGTTGTCAAACATTACACACGTTGACTACATCCAACAATCAGGTCCTTTAGTTTGAGTTATTCGCGAAATCTTAATGAAAAGAGGACTGACGGTTGAAGATTACCTGCATACACACCGCTCGAGTTACAAGTATTCCAACAACACAACAACGGTTAACAGGACCGATGGAAAACTGATGCGTCAGGGGAATCGACGCTGCAGGGGGTATTGTAATCTGGAGCTTTTCGACTAATTGAGGTAGTGTGGGTTTTTATTTTAGAAGGGGACTACTTTGGTCACTAACTAACCAGTCCATTCTTAAGCCCTTTACTAGAATTGTGAATACCCGCTCTGCAGCTGTCAACTTAGGAATTTCACAAGACTGGTTCCCATGGCGTAGTGGTCGTTGTAAGAGACAGAAATCTCTATACTCTCGATAATTCAGAATAGATCAATTGACATTCAGTCCGAAAATGAGGCCCTGAAATTGGACAAACTTTTCTTGTACACTGCAAACAGCTCTCGTACGTTATACTAGCGCCAACGATCATACTTGCCGCTTACAAAAAACTTGTTGTTCTCCCCTACTCGTGTCATATATTTTGGTTACAACCCAGGGCTCATTCAAACAACCACACAGTTCCCCCCAGTGCTTCAGAAACCATGAGATTACAAGATAATTCAAGGTAACCGTGATACCACTATATAATCAGTGGTGGTCCTGGGAAAATACCTTATCCCGAGTTTGAGATAGCTCGGCGATTAAGGCATCCGTCGTTCGAAACCCCGACTTTTCTATTGCTCCTTCTAGGTTTTGGCAGTTTGGCACTATCTCAACCCTCGTGCTTCGTTCGGCTTGCACAGCCGGTATGCAATTTAATGATGCTAGTGTATATTTTCCACGACGAGTACGCGGTTATTACAGCTGACAATGATGATGATGATGGTGATTATTTTACTCTATTCTTCACAACCGAGGAGGCTGTCAATATGGCTGAGTTACTTTGCAAGAGGAAACACCACAATGGCACTCCTGTCACTGAGCTAGGTTCACCAGCTGACTGTCATAGGCATAGCTGATGGCTGATCCACCAGCAGCACGGACTCGTCAGTCTGAAAAAACTGTTTAATGGAGCAAACAGAGGAAAGAATTCTCCAATGTTGAGGGTTATGGTCTTACTTGAGTTAGGCACGGCAGTCAGTTTCCAGTGTTGGTTTTATCTATGGTTGCCCGGCCAATCTTATTCTCTCAGGTTTACATCAGTCTCAGTTCTTTGCACCTAGCAAAATGTACGCCTCCTCATGAGTCAGTTCTGATTAATCAGTTTTGCCTAGGCTAGTATGTGATTTTAGGCCATCGATGCCTGGAATGAGCCAGGACTAACAAATACGCAATGCGATGAATGGTGGGGCTTCACTTGTTGAGTTGGCTCCGCACTACAGACTACAGTGGCTCATGTGTAAGCGAAGTATACCGAATTATCGCTCACTGAGGTAAGTACTCTCTGTTCGTGTCAAATTCAAGGTGAGTTAAATCAAGGCTCGGACAACCCCAAACTTGGTAGAGGAATACGAAGTTTACGACCAGTTTCACCGATGACCTGTCATCTAGGATTGTATCCCCCTGACTATCACAGGCTAGATATATTGGCGACCGATGTCAAAGCCGTTTTTGTTGTTAGCTTCTATTCGAACTGCTTTTCTAATTATTTGGGTGAGGGAGGACTGTAGCCACCTCAATTGTTGGTGGTAGACTGGTAAGAGGTTGCTTACGGTATGTTTGTTCCTCTCGTCCATTGTTGGACCTTGTTAAAAGAAATCTACATGGATTTGTAGCTGTTAGGCACCCTGTCTTCAAATTGGTGTTGCCGTCCGCAGTGATGATGATGGTGTCCGCAAATGCAACCACTGTTGGCCTGCAAATCTGCCTAGAATGCTAGCCGCTGTGAATCAATACCTTTTCACAGACAATGGGTGACTTGTAAATAATCGATAACGGACACAATCGTGAGGATTTTCAGAGGTGTGATGTTTGTCAATGCAGTCCCACAGCGAACCAATCACATCCGTGCGGTTCAGTTCAAACGAAAATATGCAGCTTGTTTTCTCTGGCAGTAATTTGATTAAACTACGCATCGGCTGAATGGCACTTAAGATTTTGATCTGAATTTCCACAAAATCGTTATGATGGGAACGAAGATCTTAACATCTCTCTTCCTCTCGTTGATGTGCTGGCCGTAACGTGCTGCCCATACGCTCACACTCTGTTCGCCGCAGTGGAGAGCAAGTTGGTCTAAATGAGGTTTTGGATGGGAACAATTTGAGCCAGTGAGCTGGTGAGACCACATTCGATTTCCACGGCCAGTCGGTTACAATGTTAGGTCACCCAGTCGAGTCGGAGTCTGATTGACGATGGTAGTTATACTTCAATATCTCGTTTGGCTTTGCTCCGATTGCAAATGGCATCTTCATGTCCATTGGGTTTAGCTGTAATCGATTGGAGTTAAACAAGTATCTATGAAGACTGACTAATTTCGCACTCAAGCTTTGTACTGAATCAATTATTAGATCTTTGAGTGGACCAATAAAGTCCATTGAAGTTGGTAAAAACCTGTGGTATCGAAACCCGAGAAACTTTTAAGGGCATCCGCGTTAACAAGGAATTCCATACTGAGTTCGTAGTGGGCTTGCCCGCTCATACGTATGGGATAGGGAGTTGAGTTCGCTAACCCCACTCACCCGACTTAATGCTGCCACCGTGACGTGGTTTTCGGGCGTGAGTGCTGCAATGATCCCGCTGACTACACTGGTTGGAACTTTGTTCCACAAGGTGAAATAGTGGAAACTGCTTCGCAGTGGTGAAACTGTGGCAGCAGCGGTTCTGACAATGATGATGATGACCTCTAAGTCTGCTCACTGACTCAACATTCCCCAACTCCATTTTGACTTAACTGAATGCTCCGATTTCTTTTCGATGTGGTACACAGACCGCCAGCGTCTGTCTACCCCAGTGATTGTATAAGGCTCATTCTCTTCTACATAGTTCTCCTCCCTCTAAGCACCACCACCCTGTAGGACCATCCGCTAGGAGTGATGACCCCATTCATCTTCCATCGGTCCTGGAAGGGACGTCTACAGACCAGTCGGTGCTAACATCCTCATGTATATCTAAATCGCTCTTCGAGTGTTGACGCCAGTTTTCTGGCTGCTTTTAATGTTCGTGCCGTGATGCAAGCGAGACAACAGACTGCTCCTGATCCCACACTGGACTGCCTTGAAATTTATCTATACTGTGTAGCACAAACAAGAATTCAAAATCCAAGCACAGTCGTTGAGCTACCGTTCTCTCTGCCTGCATGTTCCCATCCAACAGCGTGCCAGCCACGGACCAAAACTGATCACATCATCATCATCTACCGATGGCGTGGATCAACAACCGACTGTCGCCTCTTTCGGAACCGTGCAGTGGTCCGAGTTCGTTTCTCTCTTCATCGTTCAGGATCTCATTGGGGGAGGACACCTCGCGTAGTAACTGAGATGCTTGCAGATCCTGAAGTTAAACGAACTTGTCGGAACCTTTTTCTGGTCTCTTAATTTACTTTAGTTTACTACATCGACGAATGTCAATTCGCACTGGAACGATACGGCCACGGTGCTGGCAGTTTTGCCTGTGACATGCCTGTGCTAACTCCACTCAAGCCCTAGATTCAAGCGGAACAGTGGCTCTGCTTGAATCTGGTACACTTAGTATATTTAGGCCTGACTGATCCGTAACGACCGCCTTTGAACGAAACCATCAATGATCCGAAGGGCGCGTCCACCTTCAATAAAGAAGGACTCCTCGACCGCACCTTGAACAACGGTTCACTTGACCACCTGCTACCACTCAGTCGGATTCTGGAACCAAACCGGAACCACGGACAATGAATCCATAACCCCATGTGGCCTCGGAGACTAAATATTTCATATCTCTTCTCAAGCGCCACCCAGCTGCTGGTCCGGATGACCTCCCACGCACACTGTCTAGGGATAAGGATGAAGTACTCAGTCGTCGCTTGTCTGACCTAGTTACTTCCATCTGTTTAAAGGAAATTGTCCCACGCAACAGAGGAAAATCGGTAGCAATACTCGTTTCCAAAAAAGCGGCCCTTATTGAATCAGGTAACCAAACGGATGATGTTAACTCCAGTCGTGACGCAACCCCTGGCGTCAGTTGTTCCGCCCCGCCTTGTGTTGGCCCGTAAAGCATTGATTCGTTTGCAGCAGGCGGGATTTCATCCTTCTTGAAGTTCCGCTTACCATATCTTCACACTCCGTCAGGTACTTGAATGACGCATTAGGTAAACACGACCTACAATTTTGGTATTCTTGCGTTCCCAAGGCGCTTTTGACTCACTTCATCGATCTGTTCTCTTTAGCAAGCTTCCCCTGCAAGGAAAGTTTGTCAGTACATAAAATGGTGTACAGGGTATCCACTCTCCCTATAAAGTGGTGTCAAGGGTGTCCACTCTCCCCCTTATTATTGAATTTTGTGGTCGACGAGATAATCAAACGACTGCTGGAAGGTCTCCAAAATCCTGGTGTTCAAATAGCTGCTAAGGAAAACCTTTTCAATCTGGAATATGCAAGAATTTGCAAGAAGAACATAGGGCACAGGTGATTTTGAATAAACTGACCAAAATTATCCCGTCCTTCCGCATACTCTGTAAATTCATGCTTCTCGACGTGTAGTCACTGTGCGCGCAACTTACATTACAGGGGGGGGGGGAATTCTAAGTTGTGGATTTTTAATGTATCCTTGAAGTTGTATAAGTGGGGCACGCACCTCTAATGCTCAAGTCGCGTTTGTTGATTTGGGACACCTACGGCGACAACGCCGGATACCCCTGGATGTACGGGCTTTGTTGTTTGATTGCAAGACGTGATCTTTTCGAGCACTGGGACGTCTTCGTATCTTGGATAATAGTTGTCTCAGAACTATGGCTCGTGTAATCTCATGTCGGTGAATCCGCAGCGGAAACATTAGCAAACAAGTTTTCGGGTGTGTAACAAAGACTGCATTGGAAGAATGTGTCCCGTGCCAAAAGCCACAACGCCTTGTTCATTTGCTACGCATGCTGAATCATCGTTTGCTGAGGTGTGCTGTGCCCAAAGCGGAGTGGCACGAGCAGAAAGGTGGCCAATGTTTAGCCTTATGAAAGCCTATTATGAAAGCATGGGTACTGTTAGTGCGCCTGGGCTTCCGAGATGGGGTCTGGTTGATTCCGCCAGTGCATGTTTGTAAGAGTTGCAAGATATAGCTGCCAATCGATGTCAGTTGCGTTCTTGTCTTTTCATCCAGACTCTGTGTGTTTGTACTAGGCTAGGCCCCTTCGTCATCTACTTTTATCCACCTAAAGGCTTTAAGGTTGATTATGGTCATACGGCATATCATTGTTGAACACTAATGTCATCCTATTGGTGTTGATGATGACTACCTCAGTGAGTACATAAGGCTCCTACTGCGTTGTAACGATTTTCAGAAAATTGAGCAGCCTCGGTCACGTCCTAAAATAGTATCGTGCGCACCTATCGGAGAAGAGCGTCGTTGAATAGATAGAGTACCGTGTTGACAACGCTGAACCGTGCCGTACGCAGCCTCCTAGCTGACCTCACGGGCACCTAATGGAGGTGCCCTAGGTCACAAAGTATCTGTCATTAGGCTGGCAATGTTGTTGATATGTTATGACCTCAAAGGCTAGTCAGGTCTGGTCCATTATTCTCGACCCGCTGTCGTTCCTCACAGTCGACAGATTTAGTCATCACTAAGCTTTTGCTCTTATTCCGGTCTTGTTTTTTTACTTGCCCAGCAAATGCTGTGGGCCTACGTGTTAGTCAGCCCTTCAGCAACGTTTTTTTAGTGTTTCATTCATCTGGATGGATAATAATGCTGCAAAAGACTAGCTTAGTATACCTGCGAAAGGATATCGCTTCAGAAGATCGTTGGTTGTGTACAGACCCCACCTCCTCTTTAGAGTTACATCTTTTGAAGGTGATGTGAGGTTATGCAGCACTGAACCTCAGTGTTCCACCTGTAAATATCGCCTCGCTCATTCGTCTGAATTTTGGAAACGGTAACAAACTATTCATTTGCTTAAAATGGCGTGCGTTTATCAGCTCGGTAAATGTCCCATTCAGTGTTTTTAATGCAACAGTAGTTTGGGAGGTGATGTTCATCTGTTCCCTGATTTGTTCTGGCAAGTGACATCGACCTATGCAGCGCAGTTGAGAATCACCGTACATCTGTTCAATCCTCGTCACTTATGATCAGCAATAAGAACCTCTAGGGAAATTCATACCTTCAAATTTCACGTGGCGTATATGAGAGTAAAAAATGATAGTAAAGTGTGGCTGTTGATTCTCAATCCGTGTTATCGGGGTCACTCCAGACAGGAAGTGTTGTCCCGGAAGCTGAACTCGGAAGTAGGCCACCAATTTGTGTTGTGGCATAAGAATTGTTATCGTACATTGTTTTGTCCCATGTCGCAGTTTCGTTACCGTTATTCCAACTTTGGTTTGATTCCAAGGCTAAATTGTCGATCAGACGAATTTCAGTCTGGTCTGGTATGGTATGGTCCTTTGGTGTGGCAGGATAGTTTATTGGTACTGCATTGGCCGTTTTACACCACTGATAAGAAACCAGGGTTAGTGGTTTAGGACGTATGCATTATCGTTTTCTGCTCTTATGTCATGCGACGGCAGTCGCAATGGCTTTCACACCTCTAGAGAGGTAGTGACCGGACAGATAAGCTGTAAACTAACGCTTTCATTAAAAGATTGATATCTCGGCGCCTCATGCATGTTGGATGTATCTGTACGCGATCCTGGCTAGTGCGATAACACTAGTCACTCCAGATAACACGTTTGGAGTTCTTGATAAGACTTGAGCCTGCACTTTGTATTTTGATGCTGGGTGCAACATTCCATAGCGGTTCACATACATCACCAAGCCACAGTATGGCGTTCACAATATGCAGTCCGTTCCCTACCACAGTGATATTGTCATCACAATTGAGATTTGTAGCTATGCTTCAAGAAGGAAATCTCCATGGCACTGTTATTGATTTTGAAGTGAGTCACTTGCTGAAGAACGTCAGTAACACAGTTGAACAGAAATAGCACATTCAATGGTGACAGAAAACTGCTGAAAGAGATGTCTGTATAACTTGGTTTGATCCAATGTCCTGAGTATGCTCACGAGTTTGGTTGACATTCTTCGGTGTACCAACTAATTCCCCGGGAAATTTTCGTCCAAAGGGACCAATTCAATTCAGATGTCCGGGAACCTGATGACAGTTGAACGTTGGTAGATGCGGCGATGCCTCAAGAGCTCCTGAAGTCTGAAAATTTGTCCAATGCGGAATCGTTTTTTTTACGAAAACCAGCTTTCCGCTCACGTTACAGAACTTCAAGAAACAACAATAGTCCGCAGTATTTGCTACACTAAAGCTATGAGGATTAATCTCCGTTGGTTTGACCGTTCTGTCGAAGACTTTGTTTTGTGTATTGGTACAGCTGCTGACCTCGACCAGCAGACGCGTACTTTTTCTTGCACCAATATTTCACCAGAGGGGTCGGTGAGCTGATGGAACGAAGCGTCACTTTTACCTTTGAACACTCCTGTGAAGAACTCATCTTGTTAGAGTATCCTGTCAACTGGTAATGCCTCCACCATCGTGCTTCCTTCGGGCCGCACGGTACATAGATCGTGTATTTCATGCGTCCCTTTCGGAGCCCTATCTATGGCTCAGGAATCATCTTCGTCAATAGTTAGACTGAACCCTTAATTACTCCAGTCAGAGTTCGTTACATGTTCGCTGTTGATGTCCCATCACCCAAATCTTTGTACCCCCGTATGTAAGGGCATACTGCAGTACAAAAAAAAACGCGTTCCTTACTTCCTTTTGGTCTTATTTTTGGATCCACATTGTAATGCACTCATGTGACTACTCTTTGTTCATATAAGCTTATCCGTGCTTCGGCGTTTGTTATTCGTATCAATAAGGCTCCCACAGATACTTCAGATATTACAAATGAGTTACATTTAGAATAGTTGTACCCATCCGCATATATATTGCTCAGTATTGATGGCTATTTTGGACAGAATATACCCCTAGGCAGCTGGAGTGTTGTTTTCCCTGCATTTGACACGCTACCACCCTGGCAGTATCCCAGCCCTCGTGCCTCCTTCCGCCGCATGGCCCCTAGGCAGCTGGAGTGTTGTTTTCCCTGCATTTGACACGCTACCACCCTGGCAGTATCCCAGCCCTCGTGCCTCCTTCCGGCGGCATGGCAGCTAGGCACCGAAAGTGTGCTACAGCTGAACGATTTTTTCTCTGTTATCACGAACAAGAACTGAATTCCCCTCTATATAGACCACTGGTTTCCTACAAATCACACCTTTTTCTCCCAAGGCTTCCAAATCCTACCGTTCCGAGCTTCAACTCCATGGGCTCCCTCTCACCGTTGTGCGTAAACACAGCGTTGACTTCGAATGACCCACCTCGATCTGCCGACGATATTGTTGTCCCGTCCAATATTTCGAACCCGCAGTTACCGGATGCAGAAGTGAGCCTTGTGCTTTCGAGAATCTTGACCGTCATAAATCTTTTAAATTTGTATGTCTTCTCGCTGCTTCCCAGTTGTCATCTCCCATAGTAATCTGGTAAGAGTTCATATTTCGGAAGCCACTAGATTCCAATATTGCTCCCTTTATTGTAACACCTATGTGATCAGGTGCAGGCCCCGATGAAACGTTCTGACATCAGTTTCGTCCGGAATTCACCTGTGAATCAATCTAACTTACAAAGCGCATCGAAGGAAAGTGCGATCTCCGTGTAACCTAATAGTGTTTAGCCATCGTGCTACTCATCAGTTGTGCGGCACCCATAAACCGGGTGGACTCAATTTCTCAACACGGTAGACCTTCAGTAATCTATGCCGTTACGACATGGACGGGCAACAATCGGTTGAAGGTCAGCATTCTGAATTGGAGACAATACCGGGAGAAATCTCACCCTGGTAAAATGGCCGATCGACGGAGCGAGGTTTGCCTCTTGGTGTTGGAGCGGGAACTGCAGAAGCAGTCGAAATTTGTCTTCCTCCTCTGCCGGTGAGAAAACTTCAGATCGTTATGGTGTGTCTGACACTGACTACCAGAGCATTCGAAAATTCGAGTCTGACATCAGTACAATTATGAGATTGTAGAACCAGCATCGATCAAATGTCTGCTTTTTTGAGATAATAAGCTGGCTTAGTGATTTCACCCAGAATCATGCAAACTGCGTTGATACCTAAATTTCCTAAATGTTCCTCTGTTCCTTGGGTGTTGCATAGTTCTAGAACTAGCTGACACCACCCTGAAGCGATTGATGTCCTCAAAATCAAACGTAATATTTGTCGCCGCAGCAATGGAAAAGAAACGGTTTTTCTTTGGGGTGCGTGATTTTCCCACCAAGCTGTTAACGATCGCTTGATCCAGCACCCTCAGTTCCCTGTGTACTATGCCATCAGGCCTTGTCATTTTCACATTCACAGTTTGATGGTACAGTCTTTTTTAATTTCGAATAGCCACCTGAAGCCGCAAACAACCAAGCATCTACCTAATTCGCAACTGCTCTCCAGACGTTTATCTTTTTTAATTTCGAATAGCCACCTGAAGCCTCAAACGACCAAGCGTCTATCCAACTCGCACCTGCTGTCTAGACGTTTATTCTGTTCCACTTCTACCTCTAAGGTGTCTTCTCATCGTCCTCTTCACACAGAAGAAACATGCCAATAGAAGAGCAAATTGGATTCGCATGGAAATGGTAATTTAATTGGGCAACTGGAACTGCGCACTACAGTGAACTGCGATTACTTTCCGTGAATGGAGTTCGCCTGTCTAATGTGCAGTTGTACTGTGGGTTTCTAGAAAGCCTGTAAACCCGCCGTACTTATGAGGTTAGGTCCTGGTGATTGTCGCCCGTGAGTGTATGGGAAAACGCGTGTACACTTTGTAGTGTGTGAGATCACAAAACATTGCAGTTTTCCACTTTAGTTACAAAGGCCGCAGTCCACAGCCGAAGCAAGGGAACCATGCAGCTATTCCTAAGGGATGAATATTGCATGCGTAATAACTAGTACTTGTTCGTAC